CGCCACGCTCTCAAGATGCGGTGCCTGTGTGCAGTCCTCAGACCCCTCAGCAGTGACAGCGCGTGCTCCATCTATTACAAACAGAGACCTGCTTCAGAAGCGTAAGTTGTGATTTTAAACATATTCGTTTTATAGTTCCTGGATGTGCTTTCCTCAAGTTTAAATGGCTTTTGTTACTGTAGGCACATCTGAACTTGTTTTCTTCCCTCCCCCCGGTCTCATTTGCAGCTTTTGAGGCAGCTGTACTAAGAAAGATTTGAATATATTAATAGGGCTTAAAGACACTTTTCATGATGACCTTTAAAATATCTCATGCTGTGAACTAACTGTAGTTTGGAGTGGAGAGACCTTGTCAGCTGGAGGTTTCAGGACAAATGAAGCACAGTACTTTTGTATGCGCGTCTGCATTTTGTTCTGTAAAATGACGCAAGTAGTGAATTCAAATCTCAGCTGTCTGTTTCTGAAAAGCTACTTACTTAGGCAGTTGTGACTAAGTTGATGATTTCACTGTTCAAAAGTTTTTCCTGTTCAGCTAAATGATACCTTTTTTAAAACGTAATGCTTAGCTGTGGGCCAGAGTTTTATTCAGCAAGTGCTGCCTAGGAGAGTGTGGTACTTGCAGGCATCAGTTGAAATGGTGACATGAAAGAGCCATTGTCTTTGGCAAAGCAGCTGCGCTTTTAAGCTAACAACGCTGACTTTTAAGCTGCTATTAATTAAAAAACAATTGTGAGCTGTTGTATTCAAACAGTATTGTAGCACACCTTTATTTTATTGGAAGTAAACCTTTCCACTGTGTTCTGTATTGTATTTGTCCTTTGTGAATAAATGAAGGACACTCACTTCAAGCTTTGAGCTGAAGTAACATCCATTTTGCCAGATATTTTATGTCCATGCAGCTGCCGAAGGTGGTAGGTTGGTATAGCATGAGCAGACTGCTAACAGGGTCTGCATGATGGAACTGCTCAGCCAAAATTTTGGGTACTGTTCTGTTAAAAGAGTGTATGTGTGTGTTCATACTAGAGTTCGAACAAGCTGGCATGTCCAGACTTGTCAGAGGGAAGCACAGAAGTGTGTATAAGAAAAGATTGTCCTCTTGGGAGTGTTGGGAGGAAAACTACGTCACCCAGTTTTAATCACACCTATTAGCACTGGTCGGTGTAAAAGGCTTCCTCATGATGCCATTGCTGAGCATGTTTTTCAGGACTTTGTGTACATTTCAAGTGAGCTGAGGTTTCAACTTGCTCTGTAGGTTCCTATACTGTGATTAAGTAAAAAGGAGGTGATAAACAACCAAGTCTTTTGTGTTGAAGGGCGGTGAATGGCCTGGAAACTGCTGCAACATTGCGTAACCACGGAGTGCTTTTAGGTAAAGGAATTGCAGAGTAGACAGTGACAACAAGAGAATACCAGGTTTTTATTTCAGGTTTCCAAGTAGTCGATTTTAATTCAGGCTACAGTGAGTTTTTTCCTGTTTTCTGGCACATCTATTTTGTAATGCCAAAATCGGCGAGAAATGGAACAGTAATAATGAAAATTAGAAATGTGAATGTGGGTGAAATGGTAACCAATGTTCCTCCTACTGTCAAGGCATTAAATTAAAAAAAAAAAAGGAAAAAAGAATAGAAGCATTGTGTTAATGGATAGCTCAGCAAATACCATTTATATAATGCATTTGTCTGCACCCAGCAGTGTGGAGATGGCCGAAGTAATTAGGAGTGAGGATTTTTGTGTCTTTGCAGTCTAAAGGCAAAAAAGCAGTCCTGTTCAGAACAGCGTTAAATTGAACGGCCTCTGGTATTTGCGAGTTGCGTGTCCTGTAGAACATACTGCTGTGTTGGGGAGAAAAGAGAAGCTGCGGAGACATGCGTGTGGATTGCGCTGCCTGAAATGGGGAAGAATAGCGAGTAATGTGAAAGGGAGTAGTTGATGAAGTTAGGTAGCAGGGGCTGTGTGTCTGGCTGAAGCAAACCGAATGCGAAGAAGTAGTTTAAATGGTTGCTTCCTGCTGGTTCTTGTAGCAAATGTCTTTCACTTAAAATATATGAAGATACGTATCAAGTACCATATGTAATCTAACTTTGTGATGCTGACATGGATGGGGGTGCTTACGGGGAGAACTAATGGACAAAATAAAAAGCAGCGGCATGCACATGGTCAGTGTCATATACACAGTAAACTGAAATTAAAAACCACTGAGTGCCTTCTGGGAGAAGGGCTTTCGCAGGTGAGCTTTGGTAAAGATTCCTGCGGAACCCGGGTGCTGTATGTTCGTTTGTCTGCCCCATCACCTCGGTGGAAGCAGCTTCGTCCCTTTTAGCTGAGTCAGGAGGAGAGGACATGCCACCCTGCTGTAGCCGTGCAGCTGAATGCTCCAGCGAATTAGCCTGAACTCTGGATGAACAAATAGCTGGTAACACTGTAACACCAAAACAGAAGTATGAGTCAAAATCCTTAGTCTTGCTGAGGGTGCCACCAGAATCAGTTGTCAAGTTCTGGCATTGGTGTGATTTAGTGCTGAGTAAGGGCTGTGACTAAGAAAGCGCAGGGCAAAGTAGGTCTTCAGGCTCTAGGTATTCAGAGTTGGCCAGCTTTACTTCTTAAATCTAAATTTAAGCTAGAAAATGCTCAGGTTTATCTGTGTTGCATTATAATAATTTTTTCCATGCAGAGTACTGTAGGAGATTTTTCAGTGGCTTTTAATTTTGGCTAAAACCTGATTATGTCACAAGCTGATTTTAGGTGGCCTGGAGTTGCTAGTACATATCACTTATGAGGGATGTAGCAAGGTCTGCCTGGTGGAGCTGTGGGCATTCTCAGGGGTGCCCAGCCCTGCTCTTTGCATCTTCAAAATGCAGAGCAGGTGCTGGGAAATCCCCTCACCCGCTTGCTTTCTCTGCTCTGTGGTTGAGTACAGCGGGAATGGCACGAATGCATGCCCTGAGGGGTGCCTGGGCCTGGTTGGAATGGGGGCAAAGGGCTCTAAAAGAGGTGGTGTAAGGTTATGTCAGACCTGACAGTTTGAAAATGTGCTGGATGTATTTAAGCAAGGTGATGTAAATAAACACCAGTTAACTAATCTGAACACAAGTAAACATTGGAATGAACTGTATGGAGACGTACTACATTCTCTTCTGGGAACTTGGGGAGGCTTTAGCAGCCGGGAGGAGAGAGATCCGGGTGGGACGGTGGGTAAAGCACTTACATTGGAATGGGAAGGTCACGATTCATGGTCTTGTTCTGCTCTCTCCATCTGTTTAATAGATGGATTTAAGAAGCAAAGTGTTACCTGTTCTGAAATGAGAAGGAACATGTGTCTTGGGAAAGATAGGGAGATCTGTTTTGTCTTAAGCTGTGTAGTGCTGTTATATAGCATGATTCACTGATAACTGAGCATGTGTATTATGGCAGTGTCCTATCTGGTTTTTTTTCCTAGGGAAATTGAGCAGGTCAAAATTAGCTTTCAGTTCTGCATGGAAACGGTATGCCCTAGGTTTGGAGATTCTTGCCCTTCCCTTTCTGTTAATATGGTCATAATGTACAACTGTTTGTCCTTTATTGCTGTTTGACATGGTTTTTACGCTTTCTAATAGTACTGAATCTGTTAGCTGACTAAGGCTTCCTTTGACAAATGAGACTATGCCAATAACCAAGAAGGGGAAAAATTTTTTTAAGTAGTACTTCTCACTTACAGGAGCGTAATGGTATTAATCAGTAGAAAGTGAGGACTTTCAGGATATCTTAGATTAGAACTTGACTGTCACATGTGAATAGTGGGTTTTGTTGTGGGGTTTTTTTTTTTGAGAACTAGTTATTTACTGTAACAAGGACTCAAAACGTGAGCAACCTCATCTGCAAATGTCTAGAATGACAGCTTAAATGCAAGAAGCTTTTATCTTTTTAATAAGCGGCTTTCTGAATTTCCTTTATTTACTTTTTGTCTGTAGAATCCCATGTTCTTCTGCAACTTGCATTTTCTGAAGCCTGGAAATCAGCCCAGGTGCTGCCATACCTTCCTTTCCTCACAGAAAGGACTCATTTTGTTCCTGGCCATTAAAATTCTAGAAAAGCTTGTCCTCCACCGTAGTCCTCTGAAACCACTGCTTTATAAGAAAGCAGAAGATGTAGCTATTTTAAGTTTCCTTGATAGCAAAGTGCGCTGAAATTCCCGGGATGCGCTGCTTGTTTGGCCGAGTTAATGTGAAAAGTTGAGGGGTTGGGCCAGTTCTTGGAAGTGATTCAAATATGAAAAACCGTCTGGATAGGGAAGTAGCAGTTCATGATATTTGGAGAGCATGGATTTCTTACCGCAGCTTTGCTGTCAAAACAGGTGTGTTTTGTAAGTACACCTCCTGTGAAACCCTAACTCATCTGAGAATAGATTGCACAGTAATTATTTCTACTATGGTCAACCATGTATGGTTGTTGGTTAGTTGGTCATTTTGCAGTAACACCTAAGATGTGTGAGATGAGATCATGAAACATGTAAGTGTGGGAGGAAAAAAGGTGCCGAAACATTCTGTGTCTTCCCATTAGAGCCTGACACCTTAAAAATATCGATGCTTGATTAAATATGAAGGCATTGACTCATTTATGCTTGGGCATTACCTGTGTAAACCACCTCTAAGGTGTCATTTTACTAGAATAAAAAGCTGTTTAATAAAATACAGCGCAAATGGCTTTATTCTGTAATTGTTGCTCAGATAAGGTAGCATTTAGGAGCTGTCCTTGAGCATCAGTTGCCTAGAATGGAGGGTTTGATCCTGTGTCTGCTTTTCCCTGGATGGATCCCAAATCTGCAAATGTTTTTGTCCTGTCTTTTATTTAGTGCAGAAACTGGTTGCAGCACTTAAATTGTACTTTAATTACTTTTTGATTTATTTGGCATATTGTTTTATTGGCACAGTTCATTGTGGATGAAAGACAAGTGAAGAATCCAATGTAATTTTAACTGTCTTGGTAATTTGGTATTAATTTGCATAAATATCTTGTATACACAGTGAGGAGCTAGGAGAATTCATGGAGGTGAAAGGTGCCAACAGCCCTGGGATCCTTGTGCTGACCACAGGCCTCAGCAAACCTTTTATGCGTCTGGATAAATACCCCACGTTACTCAAAGAACTTGAAAGGCACATGGAGGTATATCTTATCAGCATTTATGTTCCAGCTTAATGATGATTTGACAGCAATTATTTTAAAGGTACATGTCAAACATGGTGGGACCCAACATTACATTTGTTTGCTCTCCGTCAGCCTTCTAAATATGGCTGCAATGGTTTAAAACTTCCTGTAAAAGCTAAACATTTAAAATAAAACTAGCCAGAGAAGCTGATTTGCACCCCTAGAGCAGTCTTGCAGGGTCTTTGGTTGACTTGACATTGAATGTGTCTCCTGCGCACTACTTGAGGCTACTTTATCTTGTAGAAGGAGTGCTGCTTCTCGTCTTGGGACCTCAGCATGTCAAACACATCACCAAAATAATCTCTTTGACTTCTACTGAACTGCCTAGAAATGATCTTTCAAATATGGGAATGTGTTTGAGGAGCTACTGTTTCCACTGTTGTCTTTTATAGGTTAAGTTTTTGGAGAGTGGAGAAGGGAGAGAAATAGAAAAGAGTATGGGTCTTTGTCTTGTCACACAATTTGGTTTGTCAGTCAGTGACAGCGGAACATACTAAGTCTGTAAGGAATCTAGTTTGTGACAAAGCTAACATGCCAAATGAAATTCTTCCCAATAAACACTTTCCTATTAGGATTTCAGAATCTCTTGTCCACTAGGTCTTATAAAACTTCCTTGGCTCTATTTTAAGCATAAGTAGGAATGTTGTAAGTGACTCTTCATTTCTACTACAAGCCACCGGTGTTTGATATAAGAATAAGGACGCTGTGAAAAGAGAGCAGATAGGTCTACAACTTCTATTTTACACAATTGTTTATTTGTTTTTAGTTAAGCCTCTGAAAGTTTTGTATTAATTTTTTTAGAACTAAAGTTTTCATTGTATGTCTTCTGTGTTTTTAGGATTATCACCCGGATCGTCCAGATATTCAGAAATCCATGACTGCCTTCAAAAATCTTTCTGTAAGAGTGACAAAAAATAGATGATATATTTTAAGTAGGATATTTACTAATTTCATCCCCCTCTATTGCTTCAAAAAAGTGAAGCTTTTGTGTAAATGTTTGTGTAAGAAATTTTTGAAAGCCTGGAAATTGATGCAGTTTGTGGGCAGAGCTAAGGATAGTAATTTGCTGAGGAGTTACAGCAAATAAACTGTTGATGTAAGAGCCACGCAAGTGTTCTGCACCTCTTGATCTGCCCTTTCTCGCTTTCTACTAGTGCTGGCATAACTAGAGTCCTGAGGAAGGGCTTCTTTACAACGGTGGAGTGTATCTTCTGAGGTTTTTCTGAAGTGCATTCCTTCTAGGGGAATGGTGTTGAAGATGGGGGAGAGGATGGAAGGGCAGAGTGCTAGGGATGTTCAGAAGATACGAAACTTCTAGTAATAATTGGACTAGGAAGCCTGGTTTGAACAGATGAGCTGTCTGTTACTGTCTTTAAAAAATACAAAAGTCAGCTGCAATAGGCATATATTAAACACACTCTCTTTTACAATAAACTTAATGTTTCGTGTTTCCTGTTAGGAGTGTGTGCTGGTGGTAACCTGCCATTGTCTATTTTTTACTTTTTTGAAGCAGAAATTAGTGTTATCTGTCTTCAGAAGAGTTTTGGGGATTCCATTCTGTTGGCTGCTTTACAAACAAGAGGAAACAATTCTTGCTGAGAAAAATCCAAATGAATGGGAGTACAGCTAGTAGAGCAGGTTGGAGACATTGAATAAAAGTAGGAGCACGAGGTTATACAGACTCAGAGTATGCACAGTTGGCGTGGTTCTTTTTACTGACACTTTGTTGTATAGTTGTTTGTGTTCGTGACAGCTGTATTATTCTTTTCTGCTGAGCCTAGCTGCTTTTGGTTGGAAGTACAAAAATTTAAAATGTAAAGGAAGTAGAAATTTGAGAAATAGAGCTATGACTATGAATTTGGAATAGTAATTGAAGTAAGTGTGTTGAAAGGAAAAGCAATAATATTGGAGTTAGCAAAACTAGTTTTGTAAGAAATATTTGTAATAGTCATCTAAATTAAAATGCTTCAAGTTAGGTGCTGTCCTCTGTACTACAAGCAACAACAGTAAATACAACTGTACTGGTATTTCTACTTTTAACCCGCTCCAAATTGACAAGAGTTGATAGAGATGGTATTTTTCCCTGTCTTTGTTAGGCACAATGTCAAGAAGTACGGAAACGGAAAGAACTTGAACTACAAATACTGACAGAAGCGATTCGTTGTTGGGAGGGAGAGGATATTAAAACACTTGGCAATGTGATTTACATGTCCCAGGTCATGATTCAGTGTGCTGGAAGTGAGGTAATGCTCTTCTCATCTGTAGTGTTGGCATTTCTTTCCATTTTAAATAAAATTAATTATAATCATTATGCAGCAGAAATAAACAGAATGTTTCAGAGATACCAATCTAGACTAAAACCTTTTTGTGTTGATTCAAGGCTTTTATTACAAAATGTGAAATAAATTTCCTTGAAGATGGATGGTCTCATCTGTAAGATTCACTGAAACGTAACCAAGTATAGCAGATATAAACGTTGTAAGATGATTTTGCAGGACTATTTTTAAATTGCATAATTAAACAGGATTTTCTGTATGTAGTTATATTACTGGATCATTTTGCATAGCAGTTATTACGACGTGTTTTAAATAACAAATTTTCAACTTTTGTATTCATACAAGCTTCAGAACCAAGTAGTTTGGAGAAATAGTATAAGAAGAGATGTTAGACAGTCAAAGGTGACGCTGCAAAGTCCTGGATGATTTTTTAAAAAAACAAACAAAGCACACAAAGAAAAGGTTGTGCTACCAGAAATAATGTTAAAATAATCTTAAAAGCAAGTGCGAACAGAAAGGAAATATTGCACAGATTACTGACATGTTTTTACTGATTTTTTCCCCTGTATAATCACTGAAGATTTGAACTTGGTGGGGGCTTTTGAATTGCAACCTCATTCAGTCAGTTTCCTGCCTTAGAATAAAGATGTCCGTAAATATGAAGAAAGAGAAAAGTGTTTATGCAGATGAGTAATTCAGAATTCGTCACCTGATATTTTTCTCTCAGATATTTTCTTAGGTGTTAAAATAAGTAAGATTCAGTAGAGCTGATAGTGTATCTTTTGCAATCATGTCTTCTCTTGTAGTCATAAAATGACACACCACCCCACCACCCCCCTCAGCATGAGCTAAAATGTCAAATGTAATGGGCTGTAAGAAGTTTCTGTATAGAATTAGTTTTTTTTACTAGATATAGAACAGCTTCATTTGAGCAAAAGCAATTGTTTTTAGTTTTGTCTTTTTAAAAATTATATCTACATTTATAAAGGTTTACTGAAAAACAGAAACATTAAAACTTGGTAAGGACTTGTATTATTTTGCAGAATGCATGGAATTGAGATGGTGGCTTTGTCAGTGGATATACTTGGGTAGTCATTAAAATTAAAACATTATACCTTAATGCTTCTCTTTTTCATTGTTTGTCTATAGCAGTAGATAAAGAGTAAACCTTCTCCTCCTTCTGCAAAAATACCCCCAAACAAAAGGCAGCTTCATAAGCGAAACTAGCAAATCAAAACCAGAACAAAGTAAAGAGTGTTTTTGTTGCAAATATAAGCATTATTACTTTTATCTTCTTTTTCTACTTTGGGACATAATCCAACATCATGCAAGAATCTTACCTCTCCAGTTTGAGAGACCATGGCCTTGACGTTACTGTAACAGCATCCATCTGAATTATATTAAGAAATATATCCAATGTGTATTTTTGCTTTTGTTCAAATTGGTAAAACAGTTGTTATCAAATTAAACAAGGTCAGTGTTTCACCAAGACTGAAAAATTTCTGGTTTAAAATACTAGGCTGTATTTTCCAGGAAGAAGTATAGGCATGTGATACTAGCACTTTTCAAACAGAAAATGAAATAATTCTGAGTTTTGGTTTTTTTTTTTTTAATTCTATGGAGACTTAATTTTGCCAGGAGCAAATATTTGTGGAGTAATTATGGAGTTGTAACATTGATGGTAGTTTTCAGCAATATAAAACCGAAAAAGTGGGGAGGGAGCTTGTGATGTTGTATTTACTTTTTCATTTTCTTTTTTTGATAAGGAGAAGAATGAAAGGTACCTTCTTCTCTTCCCTAACATTTTGCTAATGTTGTCTGCCAGCCCAAGAATGAGTGGGTTTATCTATCAGGTAAAGTAATACATGTACGTATGTTTATAAATGTGTTGGGGGGTGACTTTCTTCTAAAAGGTATTTCATAGAAAACTTGGAAGGATTATTAAGCTTTTGCATTTTTAAAGATAGAAGGTAATTTCTGCAATAAGAACTGGTCATCTGTTTTATAAAATTCTGGGCTAGAAGCCTGGGCATGTCTTTTTGTAGCTGTGACTATCAGCAAGGTTTTTTTACCTCATTGGTAGCTAATGAGAGGAAGTATCGGTAGCTTTTCAGATCTGCGTAGGAGGACAATGCTGCTGTGCAGGCAGGTTTGTTTGTCAGTGCTTTTCCGACTGCTGCTGGAGTCTTACCAAATTACACAGCACTCCTAGGCTTGCATCGGTGTGAGTTAGGCTGTGCTGCCACCCGTTTCTTTAGGTGTGTCTGCTTTACTGTTTTATCTGTGAATCAGCAGAGTGCTTTTGAAGTAAATCTGCTGGTTTTCCATGTGTGCTGGTACTTGAGTCACAGCATAGAAGTAGTCTCAGGGCTCACAGAGTGGATTCGCTCTGGATGAAGCGGAACTGGAAGGCGTGCTCCGGAAGTGTACTTGATCTACTACAGCTACTGGATCTACTACAACTGCATGGACTGCCATTCAGTCCATGGCCCCAGCCTAGAGCTAGCCCAGCATAACACCACCTGAAATGCATGCAACGTGGCCTTCAGGTCCTTAGTGCCAGGTGTTTCACTCCACAAATTTTCTACTTGCTGCTGGTAGACATGGTCTTCGAGTTCTCTAGCAAGTTTCTCAGCTCAGTACTTCTTGCCTCTTTCCCCACTGCAGACGCAGAGCAACTCTGCTATAATGCAGGAGGATCGGTGCTGACTGGGTTGGCTTCCCTCTACCTGTAGGACATGTTTTGCAGAAGCACCTGCATTCTGGGTGTGTAGTTTCAAAGACCCCCTTGACAGGTGAAGTTAAAGCAAATGCACAGGCAAAGAGTTTCTGAAATCTTTATAAATGTTCATCAAGTATTATCATGTGGTTTCCAGACATCACAGTAAAACACCAAAAGTTCTAAAAGGAGCCAGAGATTTCACCTGCCGTAAGTACATCTGTAAATCAGGCTCTTGAGCAGTTTGTTCCTTTCTCCTGATCGGTGGTTTGTCTGCCATGAAGGAATGCTGAAGTGTGGTCATTCAGGGTTCCTGTGTGGTTTGCTACATGCAGTCACAGACTGTGTGACTCTTCAAAGAGCAGTTAAATTCCAGAATGCATATCTGGATTCATACCTTGCCTATCATTAGCTGGTTCTGTCTGAGACTTGCATTGGGTGGTTGAAATGCACAATCAGGTTTCTCTTAGCGTTGTGCTTGTTTTCAGAATTTTTGGCTGGTCCTTTATCCCAACATGGGTGTAAAAAAGATACTAGAAGGGTGAGCGCTGTATCTCCAGTGTCATGTCCAGAATTCCTGATGAAGGAAGATTCTTGTGTACTTTTTACAAAGGCAACTGACTGGAGAATTAGTGTGTTAACAAACAATATGAAATTAAACAATGAATCTGTCAGGCTTAATTTTGCTCTGCTATTGTACATCACTTAGATTTCTGCCTCCTCTCTCCCACCTTGTCGCTTGGGTGCACAGCATTGTTCAGGAAATAAACAATTTTCTGTGCATTTGTCTTCAGCTTCTGCTCAGTATGGCCACAACCTTTTCTTAGTGTTTGCTGCCCAACTCTGTTGAATGCAAAACTTCTGATTTCCTCATAAGCTCTTGTGATTTTTCCCAACACTGAGAACTTCTCAAATGTTAATGACTGCATATTCACCACAAGGCAAAATTACTTCATCACTGTTTGTGTCTGTCTGGATTGTGTAACATGGGCCACCTGGACTTTTCTTCTGAGGTTCTTGTCTCAGAATTGGGATAGATACAGACAGAAGATGATGCAGCTCCCTCAGTCATTCCTAGGGAAACGATGCCAGTGGAAGCAACGTCCTACACTATACCCTCCCTGTGTTGCTGAATGTTCCAGTTATCAGGAGGCTTCACGTGTTCTGGTTGATAGTGCTGATACCTGCCGCATGAGCTAATTGGGAGAACTTTTAACAGTGGTAAACTGAAGTCACAAGGGGCACAAACCATGCTTTACAAGATGGCTTCACAATTTTGTTGAAAGGAAGGCAACAGAAATGATTCATGAGTTCAGTTCCGTTTTCTCTGTGTTTTGCTGACTTAGTACTTTTTCTCTGCATGTAGCTCAGGTGAGCTTTGTTCTGTCACCAGCCTTTTGCTTGGTGTATCCTTATACTCCCTCTTCACTTATGTCAGCAGTTCTTGTACCTCTCTTTCATTGTGGCTGTGTGCTGTGCTATTCATGAACCATCAAACGCGGAAAAACAGAAGAGAGAATTTTGGGCTGCATTGTAGTGCATGCCGCTACCATGCTTCTTGCAGTAGGGAAGCTGTTGCAAAAAACGTCTTCCTTTGTCTTTGGCATCTTCTACTTGAGCATGTTCTGTGCATACAGACTATCAAGTGATTTTTAGTTTCCAAGCTTCTATGAAACTTTTGTCCATTCTGTAGTCATTAGGAAAGAAAAAGGGGGGGAAAAAAAGCTGTGGAGTTTTTTTTTTTTTTCCCCTCCTTTGAAGCCAAACTTCCACAGTGCACAGTATTTGCAATTCTGCCAGCATGTGCTGAATAGTGTTTCTGTGCAGGAGAATACTCTCTTAAAGTACTTTAATAATAAAGTTGCGTTTTTGGAAAACCCTTTCATCCTGACAATGTGCAATCTTACCTATTCTTCTGTGTTTCTAAAGGGTCAGAAAGTTATCCTAAACTGACTTTTTTTCCCCAGCTTCACTGGGTTTAAAATGAGAGGTTATCTTCTGCAAAATTGTGTTCTTCTGAAGCTTTACAAATTTAAAAGTGTGTTTACTGCTATTGTTTTATTTCCCAAAAATTTTCTGTGAGTGAATTTAGTAGTGGGGTTATTAGAGACATTAATCTTCAGTAAATAGTTGATGTGTTTGTTTAGTGAAATCTTAATTTCTAAATCTACATGTACCAGAAACCTTATTTTGAGAACTAACCAAACAGTTTGCAAATAAATGTGCTTAAAGATGAGTCACCATAGCATCTAATCATGTAATATGGGTGACCCTGAAGGTCTCAGTTCCAAGAAACTGAGGTTATGATGAATGACCACTGTGACATTTGTATAGATTTGATAGCCTACACAGGTATCAAATAGACTCATTAAAGTCAGAGGTGTCATTTGCAGAAGTTGGGCATATTAAAAACTTCCATTGTGAGGTGTTTCTGTGCATTTTTAAATGTTTTCAAACACATCAGTGTGTATGTGCTTGTCAGTTTACTGTGTATGTTCAGAGCTTGAAGTTTATATATTCTGATATTCTTGGTAATGATTTAACTTTGATGTTACTGATTGTTTATTTGTTTTTTTTTTTTTTAAGGGAAAACTGCCAATGACAGGAATGACTATCACAAAGCTAGAAGACAGTGAAAACCATAAAAATGCATTTGAAATATCAGGTATTGACCGTAAATATTTTTGTTTATTATTTACTCCAGGAAATGGTATTTCAAAAGTCAAATATTCTGTCTGAACAGAAGGAAAAACTTTTTCGTTGTGAGGGTGACCAAGCACTGGCACAGGTTGCCTGGAGAGATCTCCATCCTTGGAGATACTCCAAAGCTGCCTGGCCACGGTCCTGGGCAGCCACATCTAGGTGTCTGTGCGGGAGCAAGGTTGGGGGGTAGATGATTTACAGAGGTTCCTTCCAGCCTCAACCATCCTGTGATTATACAAATTTTGTAAGGCAGCTACCCAGAGCCTCACCTTAAAGCTGCTTTTTACTGCTTGTCTTAAGCAGTTAACAAACTGTCTTTGCATGGGATTCATTCCCACATTTCTATATTTTAATGAATGGAGTCAGTGGCCTTGGAGAAGGTCCTTTTTAATGAAGCAGTTCCAAGTATGCTGCTCACTGGAAGAAAAGAAATTCCATACACTCTAGAAGAGCTCTAAGCAAGAGCTGTCTTCTAGAAATGGTCCACCTCTTTTCTGAGAGACCTTTAGTGTCTCTGCTAATGATAGTTGTTGTGCGTGCTTTGGGTAATTTATGCCTGTGAAGTCTGTTGTTTCAGCGTGTGCCTTATTTCCTTGGAGGGTTTGAAGGGCAGAGGGAGCAGGGTCCACATGGTGGAGTTTCATAACTTTCATTCATTTCCTGGATCAGTTCTGCTGCCAAGCAGGTTGCATTTAAGTAGAGTAATTTTGACCCTCTCAAGTGGCAGGCAGTATCGTACATCAGTGCTGCGAGGCAGAGGGGAAAAGCTGTTGATAGTGTGCGTTCTTCTGAGATAATAGTTATGAAGCTGACCTCAGGTGAAGAATGTGAGGGTTAAAATGGAGTTAACTGCAGAAATGAAAGTAATCTTTGGTTAATCTTCCTGCTGGTTTCCCAAGTGACTTTTGCCTCAGCTTTTAGATTCAGACCAACTTTATGCCTTTTTCTAAAAGAAGATTGGCAACTGTATTTTATAACGTTTCCTATATTGTAGTTTATGGACTCAAGAATGACATTTTAGACTATATGAGGCTTTCCTGGGGAGGATGGAGAAGCATAAGGCTACTAGATGAGCCTGTCTCCTACATCTGTTTCTTGTCATTAAAGGTTATGTTTAATTGTTAGAGGTGGGGAAAAAAGCAGAACTCCTATGCTTGTCACAAGAACGAATACATGGAGGAAATGTCTGTTACAACCTGGAAAAGTGAGATGCTGTTGTATAGAAAATACGGGTTAAAGTTTTTCTTAGTACTTGGGGGATATAATGTTTTAGGAAATGAGTGTCTTTATAATGATGTCAGATGGTCTAAGTTGTTCTTGTGTGGTTTCTTACGTTTTCTGTCACCTAGGAAATATGATTGAAAGGATACTAGTGTCTTGTAACAACCAGCAAGATTTGCATGAATGGGTGGATCACCTGCAGAAGCAAACCAAAGTCACAACTGTTGGGAATCCCACCATTAAACCTCACTCTGTGCCGTCTCACACGGTAAGAGCGAGCTTCACCCTGAGTGAGCAGGGTATGCAGAATTAGGCTACATGGCAAACATACCACGAAGTAAAGCATTTTTTTAGCCATTAATAACAAGAACTGAATGTTACGACTGTAGTTTAATGGGTCAAAAGACCGTTCTGTTTTTAATTGTGTGAACAAGGAATAAAATGCTTAGATCTTGCTGTTATAGTTTAACAGGGTAGAAGAAAAATCATTATCATTGCTTTGTCTATTTTGGCCAGGTAATGTATCATCATCTTTTAAGTATCCTTAGAATAATAGGTTTTAATTGGTGTGGTGATGTACTTGTCAGGCTGTGGAGAAACAGTTTCCCTAAGTACTTTCTTTTGGGTTCTGCGTTTGAGTTGTTAGATGTGAATGGATCCTAAATTTAGCTCTGTCCTTAGAGGCGAGAGAAGTGGGAGCAGTGCTGCACATGGCTGTTTGTTCTTAGTGCGTGCTCTGTGGTAGACAAAAACAATTCCTTTAAGCTCCATTGTTCCAAATAATAATGAAGTGTAAAATTTTCAGGGGCCAGCTGTAATAAGCAGAAGCACTGGATAACGAGTGAGATGATTTCACCAAACCTTGATGATGATATGTCTTTATAATGATAATATGCTTTCTTTCCCTTCCCATCGCCTTTGTGTCTTTGACAGCTTCCTTCCCATCCAGTAACACCCTCCAGCAAGCATTCAGACAGCAAGCCAATACCACTGACTCCTGCGTACCACACTCTCCCTCATCCGTCACATCATGGCACTCCACATACCACGATAAACTGGGGGCCTCTGGAACCTCCGAAAACCCCCAAGCCTTGGAGTCTGAGCTGCTTACGGCCCGCACCTCCGTTACGGCCTTCAGCAGCTCTTTGTTATAAAGAGGTGAGATGTGGCAGCCAAGAAATGTGACTGTGTAGCAGGCCTACAAGGGGAAATGTAACTTTTTTTTGACACACCACCATTTTACAGTTTTGTGCATGTTTTTATATAAAGATGATTTAACAGCCGATGCTGCATCAAGGGTAATGGACTAGTGAAAGCTGTTTATTTTGAACAGGGATTTAGTCTTGCAGCTCAGAAAACACTAAGGCTTGTTAGGAGAGGCTTCCTCCGCCTCCTCAAAGTGCTTCCACTTAGTTCCACTCTTTATCCATTTAATAAAGAAGATTTTAAAATTTTTTTAACTAGCAGTTCATTTATGTTGATCATCCAAGCTTATTGTAAAGTAAATTATTTGCTAAGCACGCTGCAAAATATATAGGATAAGGGACCCTATGGTGCTTCACAGTGCTGTATCAAATCATTCTAAACAGCTGTGGTGGTACAACTGATTCTTGTTCCTCTGTATTTACCACTCTTACTAGGTAACAATAGTGTATTTATTTTAAAAAAATGGTTACTGTCGAAGTATATGTAATGTTTTGTACTCAAAAGAAACTGATGGCTAATATTACTATTAGCACAAAAAAAATGTGTAAGATGCTGTTGTATTTTTTTAATTAGTGCATGGTATGAAACAGGAATCTAAGAGAAATAAAATGTGGTGGGTGTGACTACAAAAAGATGGTGTTGGTAGGTTAATTTGGTCCTGCCACTACATTTTGTGTGGTTTTGCAAATAGTAACAATGTTAGATTTAAGTTGGAAGTCTGTGTGTATGTAGGGAGGAGAATATTGGATGCTCTGTGGCTTGATGGTATCTCCTGTTTCAGTGTCTTTGTCATGCATTCTCATGATACTAATTTAGTGTGAAGCAACAGGGCGCAGAAAGAATCATGCAGTTATGCCTGACAGCATTTCATTCTACGAGCATGAGATGTTGACAGAAACATTTTATTTTGCAGTCATGTAAACTGCATTTTCTTGGAAACTGTAGCCTAAACACTGTGCCCCAATGTGGCCTGACTGTGGGGTTTTTTTGTGGTGGCTGTGTGTTTGACTTTTTAGCTTTTCTGTTGTAAATCCCCTAAACAATAGGGAAAAAGTGATAGGTGGTCTGCGATTGGAAGGTTAGTATTTAGGCTTAGTTGCTACAAGAGGTTTTTCAGTTTGGCTGTATTATATACTCATTTTGTAATTTAAGTTAAATTCCTTTCATGTGTAGGGCACTAAATTCTCAAGTGCGGTAAAATTTCAGTCATCTTTACAGTGTTTAGCATACAGTGATTTTCAAAACCTATCTTCATCATCTTTGGTCTGTCCTGCTCATTCATCTTTTTACTTTTTTGTTCTGTATTTTTATAGAGGATGTCTTGTATCCTTAAGGTAAGGGGTAGACCAGTATATTCCTTTTGTTCCTGTAACCTAGCCTTGTTCCTGTAAATTAGCATGACCACATGTTGAGCAGAAATGCTGTATTTGTTGCTGTATTTTTTTTTGCTGTAGAGCTTTGTAAGAACAGACCTAAACATTTACAAACTCTGGCTTTGAAGAATATACTACCTGCCAAGCTTCCTTGTTACGACCTTTTTCACTTGCTTCGAAGTAGACAAGTGAAATGAGTTGTCTCTTCAAAAGTTAAAGAAAAAAACCTGTCTTAACGTATGCTTGCCTCTTCCCTTTGCTCTAGCTCCCAAACAGCCTGCATGCTTTTGCAGCAACTTTTCTGTATATTTCTGTTAATAGAACAGATAAAATACCTGACTTTGTGTATAGTTGGAGGAAGGGTAGAGAGGAAATCAGCCAGCTCAGGCAAATTGGATCTGTCAGAATGTATTAGTAAACTGAATTATGGTGCTGTTAAAAGATTTTTAGTTAGTAACTCCTGTTACATCTTAGAAATTAAACTTTTGAAGAACTGTTACTCGTCTTATTTTTTTCCCCTGCACAGGATCTCAGTAAAAGCCCTAAAACCATGAAAAAGCTGCTTCCCAAACGCAAGCCAGAACGGAAGCCATCAGATGAAGAGTTTGCACTGAGAAAAAGTAAGAGACTTGAACATATGTCTGCATAATACAAAGGCTAGAGTTAACGTCAGTGTAAATTCTGTGAAAGTTGGATGTACAGTGTAAGCAAGTTGTCTGGTGTCCTCTCTCCTGTCAGGGGAGAGGGAGTAGGTATCTCTAGAGGACTATTTGTTTTATTCATCTTAGGTGCCTGTCACAGAATCGTAGAATGCTTTGGGTTGGAAAGGACCTTTAGAGGTCATCTAGCCCAAGCCCCCTGCAGTGAGTAGTGACATCTTTAAATAGATCAGGCTGCTCAGAGTTTATTTCATGATGGGATTAGTTGCTTTCTAGAGTTTTACTATTGACTACAGTGGATGTATGCTTGTGAAGTGCCTGTTGCGATCTGTTCGCTAGAGAGGGAAGTGAGGATGACTACAGAGCCGTGTAAAGTTCAGTAAGGTAAACCTGTCTTTTAATACTGTAAACAGCAATTTGAAGGTACTATCCCACTTCTGCATACTATTTAGTAGCTAGGTTCTTAAATCAGTCCTGGTAGGAGCTTCTGCTGATCTGGGTGTTGGAAAGCTGGGTGTTGTTGCTGGTTTGAAGACGAGTTCAGTCTTTGTAAGATCCAACAGTCTGCTCTGATCTTCTAGAAACAAGGTCATTTGCTAGTGTCTGTGTCTGGATAAATTGCAGAGCTTTGGACTGCTTGAAGTCTGAATAGCACTGAACTAAGAGAGACTGATGAATGTATAGAAAAACAGAAGTGTCAAAATCTGGATGATGGGGTAATTTGGGGTGGAGGGAACGTTAATGTTGTCAAGCAAACACAGTATTCATTTAGTTGTCAGCGTCACTCTAATTCTTCCTTACAAATTTGTGTGAATAGTCCAATTACTTGTATCAATAAAAGACAGGGTATTTACTGTGAAGACCAGATTCTTTTACTGCAGCTTTTGCTTCTCTGTGTCTCTCCTTTGCTAGTGGGCTTTTCAAGCTAGAGACAATGCCTTGAGCATTCAATGCATGAAGTGTGTTATCGTGAACATTGTCTCTTACTGGCTTGTGAAAGGTTGGAGAGAAAAAGATTTTTCCTGCGGGCACTGTTGGTTTGTCAGAGGTCCTTCTCAGTGTGATGTGAATTTCATATGGCAAAGGTTAAGGTAGTGAATAAAACAGTCCGGTGTTCATGGATGTGCAAGTGGATGTTTTAGTTCAGGAGCTTTTATCTCCTTACAGGAAGGTATCTGTTTAGGAAAATTAAAGTATTGCAATACAATATCATTTCAGATGTTGGAGAATGGAGTTTCAGTAGTTGTAATGACAGTGGTAAAGCTGTCAACTTGTAGATTTAGAAATTATTAAAGAGCACTTAGTGAGAGGAGGTGAGTTCCATTTTGGGGAAGGGAGTGACTCTATAGCTTACAAATACATTATTTTACTCCTGATGAAATTAGCACCTTTCAGTATTTCGTATGTAGGAGCTAACTTTCAATAAAATGCGTTTTTGGTGGGTTTAAGTCAGTTACTTACAGAAATGCTTACTGATTCTTGATTTTCATCTGTTTCCCCTCCTTGTGTCAGTAATTAGAAGCTTCTGTTATGTTAGTGCTCCTTCAACCTTTTCCAGCTTGTGGAGCTGTAAAGGTTTTCCACTGAGGAACTTCTAGCAAACTTAAAGCTTATTTATAAAGAAGTTGGGGTTTTATTACTTATATTCTCTGGAATCCCAGGGATTTATGGCCTGTGTTTTGAGAACTGCTATGTCAAATTAGGATGATAACAGATAAACCAAAATAAGTAAGGTATTTCAACTGGGTGTCTTCACAATGCTCATTTCAGAAGTGAAATATTTGTAATACTGCTACTGTAATAATATAATGCTGCATTCTAACCACAACAAAATGCAATTATTTTTTCTGTCTTGAAAGAGAAATAACCTGTACTGTGGAGTACCTGTGTCTCTTAAGGTGTGGGGAAACTATATTGGGTCAAGAGAATTTCTTTAACTCATAGCTTGTCAGCTGATCCTGTCAAATGCTTGGACATTTGGCTTTGTTCTGGTGACAATAAATTACAAAACCTAGTAAGGTGTATTGATGAGAGAGAATACTACTACATTTTGATGCTGAAGGCAGTTCAGGTTCATGCAGCAGAAAATGGTCAAGACTGGTTTTTTTTCCTCAAGTTTTGTAGGGAGGAAAACAGGAAAAAAAAAGTTTAAAACAACAAATTGTCTTGCCTGGCATAGAGACTTCTGGTTCTACATAGACTAATGGTAGTGGTACCTCTAGATTTCGGTTTGATTGGAATTTCACTCCGCGAGTGAACAATTTGACAGCATTTTTACTGAATTCCTCAAGAAGATTTGCTGTGGAGCTCTACATTTAAGAAAATTTTGCCATGTGAAGCTTGAATAGTTAAGTGTTTTTCTTTTCTGTAGTGCTGTTTCTATTTTAAAGTCTGAGAAGTTTAATTGCTCCACTTTTCTCAGATGTACTTAGGTGATAGTGACATCTTTCCTACTGTACACTGGACTGAAATTGTAGTGACGTGTTTATTATGATGTTAATTCTGAGTTTAATCTTCAGTAATGTGCTGTTAAAAGTGGTAAATCTGGTATATACAAAACTCAAAAGTTTTTCTGTGAACTAATATTCTGTTCCTTGATTTCTTTGATTAAATGATGAAATATGTCTATAGTAAGTGGGGTGTACAGTTTTTTTTCTGTTTAATTGCTGCGTGGTTTAGAACGAGAGTGATAACACTTCAAAACATGTTCTGTGAAACTTCAGATGCTCAGAAAATTTCTTGGGTGTGCGGGTAATTACTCTGACTTGTTTTTTTCCCCAAGCATTTCAAAAACAGTATTTTGTCTTTTTAAACTATTACTTTTGCTCGTTGAAGTTTGATTTTTAAAATGGGATGATTAAGAGAATTTTAAAGGGTTGACTAGGCTGAACTTTGGTCTCAACTGAAATGTAGTGATTTACAAAAGCTTTTCTGTATTAAGAAACATAACTATTTTTAAAATTCTATTTTTCCCATTGATTCTAGGTACAGCTGCTTTAGAAGAAGATGCTCAAATTCTTAAAGTCATTGAAGCATATTGCACAAGTGCCAAAACACGTCAAACACTAAATTCAAGTAAGTTAGAAAGTACTGAAATGGCTAACTAAACCACAAATTAGATAGTTTGCAAAAAACCAGAGGTATATGTTCTCAGGCCTTTGCAAGTATCAAGCTGGACCTGGAAGAAATAATAACCTGTTTCTGGCTTAGTATCGGTGCTGAGTGTTGAAGTACTGGGCGCCCAGGTCCACGGTTAGAGACTATAATTCTTTCAGTATTGAAAAAAACCAACAACCAACCATACAAAAAACCCACCAAAAGTGACTACTTGTCATGGTTTAAAATTGCACAAAATGTTCACCAGTGAATGAGAGGTATCTGAACTGATTATGACAGTTGATCATTATGCTTTTTGATAGATTGCAAGAAGCTGGTAAGTAGTGAGGAGGAATAAAGAACAAGTTATAATTCTGGAGAAGCATATTTTTGTCTTGTTCTTTTCAACAAAGACTTCCGCTATAGAAAAATAACTTGGACCTGTAAAAATTTTTTCTCTTCTATTGCCACTAGTTGTTTTTAGCATTAATTACAAATTTTAATCCTATCTCATAATTTCAGGAGAAATTGTTCTCAGATCTGTGTGTTGCTTAAAGCCATTTTTAGTTTCTGGGATCAATACCTAGCTTACTGAAAACCTGTAAAGTGCCTCTGGGGTCCTACTTCATTTAATCCAAATCAAGGTTGCCATGTGGAGTTCCTCTGTATTGTAAGTAAAACATTGCGCAAAGCAGGGGAGTCCACCAGCATGTGTTCCATTTACACAAGGAAGGAGAAAATGCTGTTGTGTTTGTTCCAGTTTCCACAGTTTTTACACTGTTGAATACCAGTTTAATTCAGGGATCATTGGAACACAGTATAATGATCTTGAAGTACTTGTCTGGTTTTGCTTTTGTCAGGAACTAGAAGAGTGGACATTATAACTTACTCCTTGCTCACTAAAGCCGCTTAAATTTATGGTATTAACCACTGTTACTGCTAACCACGGTGCTCTGGGCCTGTTTTGCTTCCAAGGAAAAGCACTTTATGGTGACAGCTGAGAAGTCGCAAAATGCAGCTGCAAACTTAGTTCATGGATTTTCCTAATACATGTTCATTTACTACTATCACCTTGAAAAAATCCAGCTACTCGGTATTGGTGTATACTTTAAAATGGGAATATGGCCCTTGTATTAGACTGTAGAAACTTCCAAAGTAACAGCAAAAACCTTCATTTTAATTTTTCTGTCTTGATGAACTGTAAGTCTCCAAGGTGATAAAATTCTCAATTTCATAAACTAGCTACTATTACATTATTTTTATTAATATTAATCTATTTTCTAGCCCTACAGTCACAACAATAGTGTGTTTAATTGGATAAAAGGAAATGAACGTGTTCAAAATTCTGAAGATATACTGTTGTTCCAAACAAAATTAAATGAGATGATGGCTGTTTAAATGTCTCAACTGATCTGTTGATTATTTCCCAGGACAATGTAAGAAGAAATGGTTAGGGAAACATTTGCACTTGCACAGTAGTTTGTGTGTGCAGATATAAAATGGATGTGATTTTTTTTTTTTTTTTCTTTTTTGCCTATGATTTTCCTGTCTATGTATATTTAAGAAATATACATAGTGCTGTGGGTATCATTGCATACATCAGAAGTCAGCAGCTTTTATTTGCTCTTACTTGCAGCAAGAAATAATTTGTTTGGAAAGAACAGTGTTGTTGTTTCAGACTTTAGGTTTCAGAAGATCCATCTGTAGACTGGAATTGGAAATGGGGAAAAATCCACAATCATGCTGGAGTTGCTTCTGTGGGAGCAGTAGTCAGTATAGAAGAATAGAGTGAAAGAGTTGCTTCATGTTAATATTCTGCCCGTCCCTCGCAGCACTCCTTTGGCAGTTCTGCCTGCACCTAAAAGTCCGAGGGGTGCTGCTTTTGGCGATGAGATTTCAGCAGAGCCCTGGCACCAGTGCAGACTGGCAGGGAGTGGCATTAGAGGAAGCAGAGCGACTTTTTTCTGTTCAGTGGGGAAGATGTGGGGTTTAATTTGGGGAGACAGATGCAAATAGAAGAGCAGAGTTTCACTTTCTCCTGCTTCTTAAATACTGAGTTTATTTTGCGTTTCTGCTCCCAATGAGAGCTTAAAATCTCTTGCAGTATCATGTGTATGGTGGCTTATAGCACGGCCACTTCCATGGTTTCAGTCCTTGGATATTGCCAGGCCTCCAAAAAAAACCCAAAAAAACCCTTAGCTATGTTTGACGAACTACCCTGGATATCTTAAAGTATTTAATGGAGAAGACAGACTGAGACAGAGGCGTGTAGGAAGAGATGTGTGAAGGGTCAGAATGGACCAGGCTATGTTACTGTTAACCTCTTGGCCCTGTTTTTCTGTGAGTTAATTTACTACATGGTTAAACAAATAACAAGGGGTACAGACACAGAAAAGCTATAGTTTGAGGGTCCCCTTGAATGAGTGCAACATGTTGCTACTGATTTAGAAAGTCAGCAGCCCTGCTCTGCATGAGAACCTTTGCTTTTTCCTCTGCATTATCCTCTTCACAGTGGTGACACAAGCACTTCTGTGGCTGTGTTGTGAGCTGGTGGGGAAATTACCTGCTTGAAAAAGAATCTTTTGTAGGGTTGGTTTTTGTCTGAAACAGTTCCCTGACCTGGCTCAGCAAGCAGCTGTACAAATGACTGTGTCATTGCAACGGAGGGAAAGGATGGAGGTGCAGTTGTGTGATGGGGAAGGGGCTGTTGCTTTTCACGTCAGCACTGGATCATTCCAGCTTACTGTGTTTATTGCTCTGTCCCCAGTCAAATCCCCCCAGACCAGAACTGACTCCGTACTTGAACCTAACTCCCTCTTCCAAAAAAAATCTACTTTCAAACAAGATTTTGGTTATTCAAAATTCTCAACTGAGGCTGCTTAGAAGCTTAAAAAACACTTCAAAAGTTGTATTGTAACAGTTCAAACATTATTATGTGATGAGTATAATTTATACCTGAACCCCAAAAAACTAAAAAAAGAAAAAAAATAGAAAAGAAAAAAAAAAAACTTTGGTGCCTTTTTAACAATATTTTCTCTTTTCCTTCTCTTCCCATCACCTTTTTGCTTTTATTTCATGTGTTTGGTTGTGGCTATTCCTTACGTTCTCCTCCTCATCCCACCTCTGCCTATCCACATCCACCATTTCATTTCACCCATACATCCTTAGCATGGCAAGGCACTGACCTGATGCATAATCACGTCTTGGCTGATGATGACCAATCAAGTCTAGACTCCTTGGGTCGTCGCAGTAGTCTTTCTCGTTTGGAGCCTTCAGACCTCTCAGAAGACTCTGACTATGACAGTATATGGACAGCCCATAGTTACAGAATGGGGTCTACATCTCGTAAGAGCTGTTGCTCATATATCTCTCACCAGAACTAATGCACTTCTGAGCTTTTTCTTAACAAATGCTTGTTGTATCACAGCCTGCTTTTCTTAGATGTTTTCTTGCTGTTCTTTGTCTCTTTAATGTGGTATTTTAACTTCTGAGGGAGCTTCTGAAACTCAGTTATACCTGGTGGAAGGCTCTATTGCCAATTCAATACACATACAAAGAAGTCATTCTAAAAAGTGTATATCCTGTTAAGGATGATATTTCTTGAGGGTTTTTTTTAACTGACGTTAATTTGTAGCTCTGAATGATCTTTTTTCTTTTGACTTGGTCAGTGTAGCAACAGGTCCTTTCTTTTTTTTTTTTTGTTTTTATTTTGGATACAGCACGTTTTTATATTTTTTACTGAAACCATACTGGTTTGTGAGCCAAGTGCCAGTGATATGGAAATACTTTAGCTGTAATGGTTGGATTTTCTACATATCACTAACAAAATACAAAACTGGTAGAGTAAGAAAAATGCAGCTTTAAAATAAGCGGTACAAGAGCTGTAAAATCATTCAGGTACTCGTGTATCTGGCCCACTTGTCCAGAAAAGCATTTGCTAATCCATAAAAAAATCTGGTTTTATACTGCTGTCGTTTCCTCATTGCTTAAGCGTTTATATGAAGGACCGCACTGCTCTTGCCCCACCCCAGCCTGAAAGTTGTCATGAAAACCCGGCAGTCCATGCTCATTACATGCAGTGTTTTGATAATCTCATGTTACCTGTGGTCATACTGTCACTTTGCTGTATGCAGTAGTGTGGCAGAAAGCAGGGTCTAGATGTTCACTTGCCTCTTAAAATACACAGCTGACAACTCTCAATTGACCATTCTTCTTGAAAAGACGAGTTGAAAATGGTTCCCCTGATGGAGGCTCATGTGTTCAGCATCTGAAACTCTAGGTACAACTGCAATCACATTGGCTTGTTTGAAGTTCTGAATAATGGAATGCTTGGCTTCTGGGTTGTGCTGTTTGGAGCATGTCCATGACAGGTTTTATTGTGTCTTGTAACTTCTCTCACGAGCAGGTTTGTTTTCAGCTTCAGCTCTTCCCTTACAGTCGTGTTGGCTTTTCAGAGAACTGTGACACGCTGTGCACAGCTGAAGGTCTCAAACCTGCACCTGGGGCACTGCTGGGGTGAAGTGTGTGTGTGTGTTCTGTCTTGTGGATAGCATAATTGGCATCAAAACAAAAATGACATGTTTTCTAAATCTTCGTTAGCATTAGGGAAAAGCACGTGATAAAAGGACAGAAACAGTTCTCATGTTCACCAGGGTCTCCAGATGCAGTTCCCTTATCCTTTTTCAAGTAAGCATGTTATCCAGTGTTCAGGTATTACTCTGTGAACAAGTTCAAAATAATCAGGATGCAATTAACTGCTGCCTGGGAACTTGATCACGCTGTTTGAAAGATAATCAATACCTTTCTGCAGGTTTACATGATCAGAAAGTTAGTAATTGCTAGACGTGCATGATTCCAGAAGTTGGTCATCGTGGAGAAGCTATTTCAAAGCAGTTCACATCTGCAGATTTGCATTCTGTCTTGTTTGATCACCTGCTTTATCCTCTCTCGCTGTTGTTGGCATTCAACAATGTGACTAA